AAGAGTTTCAACTGTCTGTGTGGAGAGGTGACAGAGCTGCAGTGGCCAAAAGGAAACTACTGTATATCCTTCCATTCTTCTATAACAAAGCTTTTTATTCCATCCTCAATTAGACCATCATTGCACTTAGTGTAATTGTGTGTTTAAAGGTAAGAAGTGCCTACATTATGATCATCTACATCTACACATGCATGCAATAGCTGTGTGCTTTAATCAAGTCGGCAGATTATAATTAACTGAAATTGCCAAACAGAGAACTTGACACAGCAACCAGCAAGAGAGCTGATGCTTGACAACAGTGAGCAAGATCAGAAGCAACAAGGACAGATTGAGAGTGAATATTTGGAGCTTTTTCAGTCATGCTGTGCAGCGCCACGCAGTTAATTAGCTGGGAACAATAAGATGGCCACCAGTAGAGCATTTACATCAAATACACTGACTTTCAAACGTATTTTACCTTCCATCATGTCACATCGGCAAACTTCTATTTTATGTGATAAACACAAAGAAGACTTTCATTTTAGTAAATATTGTATGTGAATAAAATTCTAAAATGTGGCATGTTTGTAGCTTGCCAGAGGTCATGAAGACTCTGTATGTGGTGGAAAACTAATACTGCACACCCTGAACATCGGCTACCATCTTTATGGTGACCAATGGTGGTGGCAGATGGAGATGAATCCAGGACAATCTTGAAAGAAAACCTGATTCAGGCTACAAAAGAGGAGAGACTGGAGTGGAGTTTCACCACCAGCAGGAAAACAGCCCCAAATACCCAGACAGAGTCCAGACAGAAGAAGTCTATACAGGTCCAAAGCTGGCAGAGACTTGTCCCAAAGAACATACATCAAGTCTTGTAATTGTCTTTTTTCACCTGTATAAGTCAAGAAGGGTAACGTTGACTTTTAATTAATAAATGCAAAACACCAAGCAAGAAAACCGCCTAAGAGTTCTCTCCTCCTAATTTATTTACATCCATTCATTTCTACACTTCCCTCCAAAGTCCTATGTCTGGAACAGTAACATTTCAAGCTGATTCAGCATTTTATCGGAAAGCAAGCACAAAGTGTTGCTCTAACCTTTAAGAAGAGTCGGCACCACACCAAATTAGTTTGTAAGGATGATGAAGAGCAAAAAGAATCGGCAAGATGCATAGCAGGCGTCCCAGTAATAAAAGGCAATCTTAATGGGCCACTCTGCCATGGAATGCCCCACAGGAATGACCACAGCATTTTATGCTTGGGCTCAATGCTGCCTTTGTGCAGCTGGCTGCGCAGGAAACCTCAGTCCCAGAATCTCCAGAAACACAGACGTCTACAGACAAGGCACCTCTTTCCTTTGGAATTTACCCTGGGAATGGCCAGATCTGTGTGAGCACAGCACATGTCTCCATGCTGGACCCAGAGAGGACATCGGCATGTCAAGCGGGTTTCTGTCCTCTGTTTGTCTATACACTAAAACACATGGCGAACATCTTTAAAGTGGAGATATTGCTGTATAAAGAACCTCCAGGTCGTGTTACCTGTAGTCAATGATCAGAGACAACTTCTCTATCTAACAGATCCAGTAAATTCATCTTCTGATGACTGAAACAACCCATCAAAACCCGTGTTCTGTGGGAAAAAAGGAGAATCCACCAAAGGCGTAGTCTTTCTAGGCAATGAGGGCTTGTGGTTCACCACTTTGTGCACGGTCTGTGAATGAATACAGGAGAAGCTCAGCAAAGAATCTGAATGCAAAACTGAAAAGGAGGAGGATCCTTCAGAGCACAAGCTGACTGAATAGATCTCTGTGAATACAAGCCCACTGGGATGGCTTTGACCTTTAAGACCCCACTATATGAAAGAACCATTACACCACTGTAATCAGTATTACCACATGCAGGGCTTCCCCCAGTGTAATACAAGTCTGGCGGGCCACCAGGCTTTACTTGCCCATCATCATTTGGGCAATTCACATTGACTGTTAAACTGTGTTTTAGGTTAGACATTAGCAGGCTGTGATCTTTCCAGGTCGTACTAGTAAGATGATCTTCTCCACTACTCACACAGCATGAACAAGTCTACAATCATTTAATGCTTCTTTTGACCCTAAATACTTGACCCAACCTGAAACTAAATAATTGTATGCTCCAAACTTTTGAAAACTTTCTTCTGGCTCGTCATATAATATGAGGTCTGCAGCTCCAGATAGCAAGTTATGTGGATCGCCTTATAATCCTCAAGATTATAAGATTATAATTCGGATCATATCCTAAATATATTGCGTATATTTTCGAGATACCTCGTCTGTTCCAGCCCATTTAGGGCATTAGCTACTCGTTGCGATCCATTTTGCTTTGTTTTGAACTGGAGAAATCCACTTCCGGACTCCCATCTGAATTTCGAGTGTCATCCGTGTTGCATGTCTGCAACCCACCAATAAATGTCAAGATAGAGGTTTGTCATCAAGGTTTGAACTGGGAAAGGAGTGAGTGGATCAGGAATAATTCAGTCTACAGGGAAATTCATGGTCGACTTTATATTGTAGGTCAAATCCAGGAACTTTTCCCAGTAACAGCTTAATATTCTGTTCTCCTCTTTCTTCCCTGCATGTGTCTGAGCTAATGCAGCTGGAAATTCACCCAGAAAAGAGCCCTGGTGGAGAGGTAGCACCTCGGCTGCTACCCTGAACCTTCATGGTAGAGTTTTGAAAAGAGATGGGGATAGAATCATATTTCACTCATTCCAGTTTAAACATATCTACAGCACATATTTTCTGAGTTTCTTACTTTTAGCTAATTGAATGAATTGATATTTTAGGGTTTTCAAACTGTGTAACTCTGCACATAATGTTTATGCTCAGAGGAGCAAATATAAAAACAGTCACAACCTTCCAAAATGTTGCCTCACTGTGGGATTTTAGTTCACTTCCAGAGAGTAACCTCTGTCTAAGACTCTGGTGTTAAAGTTCAGTGGGTGAGGAACAGCTGCTAGGAATCACAGTTAAAGCATTAGTCTGAATAATGGATTTAGAAATGTCATTGTAAACCTTCCCTGATTGATTTAGCAACATTTGCTTCTCTAAAGTGACTGGTGGCATCTTAGCTCCATTGTGTTGTTGTGTCACCCCTTCCCCCACCTTTACATCCCCCCACTCATTTCCTACAGTCCAGCAAACTACCTTAACATCTGCCTTTCACAAATGAAAATGAAACGATCAACACAACCTTGCAGCTCCTGAAGCAGCTTAATTTAACTCTTCCACTCACAACTTTCCCATTTTGCCCTTGTTATTCTCTAATGAATAACAACACAGGGGATTCCGATGTGCATGTTTGTAGAATTAAGTTCATATTTCATCATTTCATCTGTGAACATTTTATGATTTCATTTTATGGCATCCTGACATGTCATAAAATATATCATGTCTGTTATGGTCAGTCAACTTTATAAAATAAGAGAGGAGACGACCCCTGGTCAAACAAAAACTCCTTATGAAGGAGCTACTGTGGTTAGCCATTATTCACCAAGGTTTGTTGGTTCAAAACATCACATGGCAGATTGTAATGCTATGGACCTAAAAAATGTCTAGCATAAATCTTCAAAACAGCACAAGACTGCAGTGATGTAGCAAAATGACCAGAAACAGGAGCATTCTTTGGGAACATCCTATAAATGACATAAAATTCTCTATCATTACCACAATTAGTGAACTAAGAAAAAACTTTGCCAATTAACTCTGTTTGGCAGTGTGTAAGTGGAAATCACACTGAAAGAAAAGCATCATGGATGATTCAGGGTTGGCAGGAAATACAGCTGGCCTCAACATTAAACAACAAAAGGTCCACTGCTTCTCCAGACTTAAACCCAGTCCCAGACTAAAATTGCTCTTAGAATAGAGTGGATGCCGACACTGCTGTACTATATTTAAGAACAAATATACTGGTGTCTAGTAATGTCTCACAAAAAGGCATTACTAGACAATAACTTTTTGACACGAAAGTAAAATAAGCCACAAATCATTTTATGGGTTCATATAAGGATCCTGACTACATAAACTTGCCAACCTTCGATTTATTGTTAATAAAACCATTGTTTTATGGGTCATTAATTCAAATAGTAACTTTATTGACTATAGTTTTGTTTTACTTTATGTCTTGTTCACCATTTGCTTAGATTTATCATCATCTTTTTATCGATTCAGACAGCAAAGCAACCCACAACAAACAGTGTCCACAAAACCAAAAACTATACAGATTCACGCCTTTTAATCAGTTACACGTTAGAAACGTCTGCGCATGATGGCGTCTGTAATAGACTACCTTTCCGGACTCAACCCTAGTCAACAGGTGGCAGTACAGAGAATAAACAGAACCACATTTAAACGCAACTGTAAAAGCCTGGGTGCCACAGCAGCTTCGTAGGGCCGTGAGAGCGCTAAAGTCCCACCATGAGAAGCAGAGGAAAGAGACTTCCAGCCTGCTGCTGCTGATCCCGAAGCCCTACGCGCTGCGCGGGGCTGGATCACATTACAGAAAGCCAGCGACAGGCTGCGAGCCCCCGCCCTCCTCAGAGCATCGCGTGAGAGCAGCAGCCGACTCTCAAACTTGATTGTGATTAATGCGCGAGGGCAAGATGTCCATGCCAGATCCAAGCACACATTTTTTAAGGTGGTCTTACTAGCACATAACTTCACATACGCACAAATTCAGCCGTGTCAGTTTCTATTATCCTGGCAATTTCATCGTTTTTTTCTCTCCCCCCTCCAGCACTCATAAACTCCATATGATAGCTGACAGTAATTTTCAATTTTCATAAGTTAATTTGGATTTTATGAGCCTGAAATAATTTACTGAGCACACTAAAGGTAATTGTAGATGCCTTTCAAGCATATTAAACCAGGAGTTAATTACTAGTCGTCTTTTTTTCATTAAACTCAGGTAAAAATGTCTCGGTCAGTTAGCGCACGTAATGTAGCAGCAGACCGGGACATGTGAAGACAGAAGAGAGAGCGCTTACTGCTTGAGGACGGGCTTCTTCCTCTTCTTGTTGGCGTACGTCCCCGGATTATTAAACATGGTGCCACTCGGTTCAACTCAACTTTCCTCCAGCTTTCCGTTCGTTTAGTCCGTTCGCTCTCCCGCTAAAACTCAAGAGAAGTTCTCTCCGCAAACTACCGGGATCCGCGGCGGGCTGGTGCCTCTCTGACAGCTCGCGGGACGGCCACTGCTGTTGACCTTGCTCGCTCGACGCTGCGGTTCGTGTTAGACTCCTGGATGTTTGGTGAAGAGAAGGAAATGGAAGTAAAGAAAAGTTTGGCTCTGAATTCAGATTATGTCCAGCCCCTTCTCTTTGGATAAACAACGCCGCCTTATTATTACAACTCGGAGTCACTTGAGTTCTTTCTCTGTTTCTCACACACACGTACACACACGCAGGCACACACGGGGCGTTTTCAGGAAATGTGTAACTGTGTTTTAAGGTGGACTGGATTCTTTGTGCTAGTTCTGTACACGCTTTTGTAAACTTCACGGTGGGCCGTGATTTTTGACCTATTATCTTTTTTTTTTTTCTTTTTGACTTCACTCCACATTACTAAACCAAACATTTTCTTATGAAATACAGCGGAACAAATCTATTACGACCATAATTACTCTAATTGAGATTAATCAAATATAGAAAAACATAAAAGTCAAATGAAAGTCCGGTAACAGAAAACTACAATTTTATGATGGGGGAGGAGTTATGCATAACTGAGAAGTGGAAGGAGAATGAGCATGGCTTTCAATGGCTTTTACAGATAAAAATCAGAGAGATATGATATGGACTTGTAGTCGCACTCTAAGAAATGACATGTTAAATTTACTTAACCAAGTTATGATAAATGGTTCCACTAAAACTAGTTAATCAAATCTAAAGAGTATTACATATTTACTTTGAACATAGTAATTTAAGTAAAGACAAAATATTCAGTTCAGTAAATTCAACACTTTGGACTTAAGTTTGTTTTACTTAATGTTGTGACTTACATTTACAAGATGACAATGGAATTTACTTATGACAGTTAAGTTTATTCAACATTACTGACTTGTAATAAGGTTCTTGGCTTTCATTGCCTGAATTTAACTTGAATATTCTCATATCCTCATGTTCAAGTTAAATAACATAGTTTAGTGGAACCAGCTGATATAATTGAGTTAAGTAACTGAAACTGAAAGTGTTTATGTTTCATTGGATTAATAAAACAAATCTCACCCACTAAAATTAATTTTAAAATATCAAAATTAAGAACAGTAATGTCGAACCCAGCAGTTTTCTTAAAACACAAAAACAAAAAAGGTCAGGCAGTGATCGCTAGTTCGCTGTTTTCCGGTAAAACAAACACAATTACATGCAACATGGCTTCAGGCAGAGCGGGCGGTCATGAAAATGTGCATTCATCTCACTAATGCAGTTTCATGTTGTAATGTGTAAACTAGCCAATAAGCACTCTACTGCTCTGAAAGTAGCCTCATTCTTCATGAACTGACTGTAGAGAGGAAGTTTTGGAGTCTACTTTTTTGTCTTAACCCTTTACACTCCAAAATCCTTTTTTTTTATTTTTTATTTTTGCATTGACTCCATTTAAATAGATTAAGTTATGAAGAATTTTTTTTTTTTTTTTATCAAAAACTTCGCACCATACTTTAATAAATTAAACCCTGAAGATGCTGGTTTAATATTTACTCTTTTATGTTCAAATTATTATTTAAAATTAATATTTTTGCTGAACATCTGTGGGTTTCATTTTATTTACATAAGAAGATGTGTTAAAACAGCAAAAGGTAAGCGAGTTAATAGAACATAATCCTGTCCCTTTAAGTATTTATGAATATTAATGGGAAACTATTAGTTGAATACAACTAGGGACAACATCCTTATGTCATGTTTTTAGGTACATCTGTGACCCACATGCAGAACACTCAGGAGGTGATTGAAAGAAACAATGAATAAAGTTTATTGAACAAACAAATTTGGAATGTGCATCTTTGCCAGGGAAACTGGAAGCAGGGGGAATAACTGGAACTCTGTAAGCAGATTAGGTAGCAGACGAGCAGCGGGGACATGAGTGTTAAAGGTAGATTGAACTTGAATTTTACAGCAGATGATGGTGATGATGAGTCTACCAGGGACGGAGAGGGAGATCCAGGGCCTAGTTCTAGTGTAAGGTGACAGCGAGGTATGGAGAGGGGAGCTTTGAGTGTAACTTTGCCAGTCATGAAAATTAAACCAGAAGTCTTCATAGACAGACAGGCGCCAGGAGGAACCAAGGTGGCACAGCGAATGGAATCCAGGAAGCCACAGGTAAAAAGAGATCATAACTTGGAACATCAAAAATCTCAGGAAAACGTTAAAAATAAGAAAAAAATGAGGAGGCACAGACTACCATAGGTGCCAGTGGACTGGCAACTGGCTCCTCTCTGGCTGGTGAAGCAGATGACACGCAGGTGTGTAATTGCTCAGCAGGTCCGCCCTCCGGTGAGCAGCAACTCTCTGGCTCCCTCTGGTGGAACACTGTAGAAATTGGAAAAACCCAAATCCCAGCAGCTTCCCAGCAGCTTCCCAGCAGCTTCCCAGCAGCTTCCCAGCAGCTTCCCAGCAGCTTCCCAGCAGCTTCCCAACACCTAAACAACAGGATGTCATTTTAAAAAATGACGTTTCTTAAATTAACAGCAAGTGTATAGGTTGGGTAGTGCACTAGAAATGTTACCATATATGGATAAACACGTATGATTCCATTCTAAATCGTATGCATTGAAATATTGTTCTTCATTTGTTTTTATTTGTATTTAATCAAATATCAAAATGTCATCTAAGGACTATTTCTTCCTATACGCACACTCATCACAGGATGTCACCTACACTACAGGTGTTTATTTTTTTCAGGATTATTTATGTTTTAACAGGATCACGTAGAGTTTTATTTTTTTCACTTAGTGCATTTTTCTTTTCCAGATGTTTAAGTTTTATAAACTGTGATCTGTTGAAACAGCTGATCAGAATTCACTTCAATTCAGCTGGACGTCCTCACTGATTTCACAAGCAGACCGCAGAGTCTGACTGTTTTACATCTATACTCTTTTTTTGCAGATTACTTTAAATTTCCTTTACATAAGTTCTGTTTATTTAACGTGATGAACATTAGCAACAAGATCCCTCTCCTGGATTAACAAAGTGCTCTGATTCTGAAAGAACTCCAGCAGTAAAGCTGGAAGTAACACAAATGTAGCAGTGTTATTAGAACAGAATATCCCCCGCTCTGGAAATGGTCCTGGGAAAACCTGAGAAGTGAGAAGTAAAAGACAATTAAAAGTCAGAAATTCCTCAACACTGGTATTGGAAGACAAATGCATGTTATTGCACTATTTATCAGATGTAATTCAGATTTATTCGCAAAAGAAACTCCTGTTGTTTTCTAATCCTACTGAGTGGAAGCAGATGTAAAGTGTGGCCTATTAGACCGAGTACTGAACCCAGTACTCGGGTGAAGTAGCAAGGTATTGTGAATTGCGTTAGTGATATCTTGATGGCAAAAAAAAAATAAATAAATAAAAGCAAACTGACCACACTGACCACATCTCTGATATTGTTCTGCTGGAGCTTGATCTTCCTGTACAATGTCTTTGCTGACAGTAATACCCACTCAGTCATGGACTCAGGGATGTGGTTATTTGAGCTTTTGAGATGTTAATCAGCTGCTCTGGATGATAAAAAAGCTATTTTATTGTTATGGTTACACATAAACAAAAGACCAAAAGAAAAAAAAAAAAAAAAAAAGAATCAGTAGAAATTGTTCCTGCTGTGCAGCATCCAGAACCAGAGGAATATTCGTCCACAGAAGAAACCTTAGTTTCTTTATTCTGATTTTCAGCCAGAAAATCAGGACTTAAAGATTTTCAAAAGAATAAATAAGAAAGAAAAAAAAAAACCAGAACCAGAGGAGCACGATTCGAGAGTGAGAAGAAAAATGACTTTTAACACTAAAAGAGTTGTTGGAATTGCATAACATTTGATTAAAAGCTGTCACTACACAGCAGATGAATGTGCATTACCTCTGATACCTACAGTAACATTGCCATCTCATTTTGAACAACAAAACATGTCTACATTTAAAGAGCTGAATCAATAGAGTAAAAATCATCAGTACTGTCTTCCTCCAGGCTGATGTTAGAGCTGCAAGAGGCCTCCCAACCCCACACTGAGATCAACAACATCATATAAACTAGGTTTGTGTACTACAGCATTTGGCTTGTGGTTTCACAGGCAGAGACTGTTTACATGGGTTTAATCTTGTGTGTGCGTGTGTGTGTGTGTAGGCGTGTGTGTGTGTGTGTGTGTGTTGGTTTATTTAGCTGCAGTAATGTGGTGGGCACCAACAGCAACCTTAGTTTCTTTATTCTGATCTATAGTGAGCAGAAGTGGTTTCCATCACTGGTTTTTATTTTTCTGAAATCTGAAAAGTGTTGAAATAACGAAACCTCTGTGGATTAGTGAGCAAACTTTTATGTAAAAAAAAAAAAGAAAAAGGTGTTAAATCTCTTAAAGACATTGAGAGCGCTGTAGATGGTAGCGCTTAGCTGCTCCTGCATTGTGTCTAAAGTACAAATGAATAAAACCTGATATCCTGAAACTCTTAGGATGAGTTTCTTACTAATGTGGGAGTTATGTGCTTATATTTATGCAGACGTTAAATTCATCATACTTTTATACTAGTTTTGCACTGGCTTTCTTTTATAAAAGCTGCTGTTGATTGCAAAATCTTTTGTAACCCATGTGGATTTCTGGAAATCTTCACGAAAAAGTACATTTTTCGTTGGCCTGCTGGTAATTTCAACTTGAGTGGAAAGTGTAAACACCACTGACTGAAACATTGTAGAGTAGCTCTGGCTGTATAATTCTGGTCGTGTCTTTCTGAACCTCCATCACAGTTTCAGTTCTTCTGCAGTTCAACACAGGATCACCTTGTATTAAGCTCCGACTGTCTTCTCATTTATTCTGATCAGCATCAGAATGTTGACCATATCAATGAAACGACTGGAGAGTTTTGTGAGGATCTCTGGCCAATCAATCAATCAATCAATCAATCAATCAATCAATCAATCAATCAATCAATCAATCAATCAATCAATCAATCAATCAGTTTATTGAATATAAACAAAATACAAAATACAAAGTCATAAAAAATATAAAGTCAACAATTGAGAAAACTAGTAACAACCATTACATTTTGATGAGTGCCATCACCAAAACCCTCAGTAAACATTCAATATTTTGGTCAATGTTCCATTTATTATGGTTCAAAAGCAATTCTGTACAGGTGAGTTTTTGGTCTTGATGTAAAAGGAACTCAGTGATCCAGCTGTTTTGCTGTTTTCTGGAAGTTTTTTCCAGATTCGTTGTTCATAGCAGCTGAACGGTT